TCCCTAATTTAAGAAAACTGTAACCCTAGGATTCGAAAATGGTGGATTAGCGTATGATTAACAAAAATGAAATTAAACACCATGAATAGTTTGGAAACTTCACATGGAACAAGAATATACTATTGAAATGCAATGAAGATGCTTAAAATGGAGAATACGATTTCAAATATTTTGCTGTACAGTTTGAGTTGTCACCACTGTTTCGTCGCGTTTTGATTGATGTTAGGAAGTGGAATGCCTTCAGAAATGCCTCAGGATGCTAATGGTATATGAATCAAGGCTTGAAAAGTCCTTCCAGCCCTGATTTCAGATTTTTGTGTTTTAAGGAGAAATTTTTATCTTCAAAAGCTTGTTTGGGCGCAGCTTCTTATGTCCTCAGCCTAGGGTTTGACTTAGTGATTATGCTGGAGTGGAATTGGCTTGCTAACTCACCTTAATTCAAGCTTGTGAGAGAATTGGTCTTAGGGTTTCTTCCATTAACCAAGTTTCCTTCTTTTTAGCCAAAACCTAGACTTAGTGTGCAAATGAACCCTAGCCTGATTTCTTGAGTTGGTTCATGATACATAGAAATTGTCCCAGTTCACATGACACTATTCCATTGGTTTTTGAATTTTATTTGAATTTTCAAAGATTAAAAATGAATTAAATCATCAAAAATTAAATAAAATAAAAAAATCAATATTTGGTCTTGAAACTAATCATGGGACACGTGTGTGGCATGACAAGGATGAACCAAGTGGAAAAAATGGGGCCCTTTTGTCAAAAATTGGATTTTCAAAGATAGTTGACTTTTGCCATTTCACAAAAATTTCCCAACTTCTACAAGGCATAACTTGCTCAATTTTTAAGCTTTTCACATGTTCTTGGACATTTTGGAAAGGTCTTTGAGTCCTTTAACCAATGCCTTTGGTCCCATGTCATTTTGATTTACCAATCTCAAGTTATGGTCTTTGACTTAAAGTCCCTTTTTGTTGACTTTTGAAAATGACCTATAATGTTGAAATTGATAACTTTTTGTGAGAGCATTTCTTGGACTTGAAGTATGAAGATGAGTTGTAGGAAATGTCTTTCTCTTCAAAATGAGCTTTGGATGGAATTTTTCTGATAACCCATGTGAAAGTTATGCCCTGGTCAATTTCAGTTGACTTTTTCAGCTGTCCAAATATAGCAATTTTTGCATCTTTGATGATTTCTGAGCCAAACTTTGAAAATCATGATCAAGCATTGATCAAATGATGTTTGTGGCTTCAAAATGATATATTGACCAAAAATTTGAACTTTTGACTGTCAAATGACCATTTTGCCCCTACAGTTGACTGTAGTGCAATTTAGGGTTTTGACTGTGCAATCTTGAGCTGAATGCCTTGAAACTTGATATGAGGATGCTTGACCATGTTTGTAAGCATATGAGACTTGATTGAGCCTTTGAACACTTCCTTTTCTTGATCAACACACAAACCCTAGTTTTGACTGTATGGAGGCCTTTGCATTGTGCAACTCTTGGGGAATTTTGTAGCTTGGCTTGGCAGTTTATTGGAGAATATGGGAGGGCAAATTTTGGGGTACAACACACTACTACTTATTATAATATATAACACTAATATATTACTTTATTATATAATATATAAAATTAACTTTATTATATATATATATCATATTATTTAATTAAACTAAATTCTTATATAATTAAATAAATATTTTAATAATTTCATTATCTCTAATTAATCAACCAACACACATATTAATATATACACACCAAAATACGATATTATCTTATAAAAATAATTATTTTCCGATAAATCGAATAAACCAATGTAATCAACTACTTGACCAAATAACCGATTAAATAATTATCGATTGACCAAAATAAATATCAATCGGTCATTTTTAGAAAATAACAATATAAATAATATTAATTAAAACTATTGGAAATCACATACCGGCCGAGTAGTATACTACCGATTAAGTAAATATAATTTATCAAGATAAATATTATTATATCGAATACTATTTCCTTGTCAAACCGATTAAATCCGACTTTATTTCAAACGGTCAAATTCCAATAGTAATATTATTTCTAATATTATTGCTCTGGTAACTGACTCGCATTAAATCTCCGGTTAACCGAATAAAATTCAACTATATTTGATAATCCGACAACACTTCTCAAACGATACCAACAATCTGATTAATTACCAAACTTCATCTAAATTAAATAATTAATCCTTATTTAATTTAATTAACTAATTAATTAAATTCGGTCTGTTACAACATGTCGTACCAGATATGCATTTCCAGTTTTGTTCAATAAAAAACCAAAAATGCATATCCGGTTTTAGCCTGACTGCATTTTTCATACATTTTTCATTTTTTTTTAACCTGAGTATTATTGTTAACATTTGGTTAGTTCTTTTACAGGATTAATGTCAGATATAACATCTAGATTGAGACAGGGCAGGCTTGCACAACATGCTTCTATGCAGAGGGAAATGAGTCAGGCGTCCCAGGCTCCTTCTGCCTCTAGAAAGGTTATATCAGACGCGTCTTCAGCCTCCAGTGTTCCCGTTTCTACACTTACTTCATCGTCCTCCCGCAACGGGCGTGGTTCTCTAGTTTATCTCTCCCTGCCTCTGTCCTCCCGTAGACATACTTCATCACTGATAGTATTTTAGGCAGGAGAGACATCTGGTTCCTATCCAAGACCAGAGGCCCCACAACCTGAAAGACCTACACCTGAGGCACCTGCACCTGAGGCACCTGTAGCTGAGGCCCAGGCAGTTGAGGCACCTGTGGCGCCTCTGAGTTTTAGAGGAGGGCATGTTGATTTATCATTGTTGCCTCTGTACCCAGACTATGTAGCTAAACATATATGAGACAAAGAGATATGAATTTATAATTGTTCTAGTAATTATATTATTAATTTATTATTAACTTTTGTTTAATAAATTTTGTTAAACCGTGTATTTAGGAAAATGATCCACTGAAAATCATTAATCATGCACGAAAGATCACTAAACTCGTAGCTCCTACAAAGCCATGGTTTGATGAACTCTTGGTGATTTCAGGGTTGAAAGACTTGACCCTCTATAGATATACTATCGTTAATCATGGTATGATTAAAGCTTTTGTTGAGAGATGGCACCATGAGACGTCATCGTTCCATCTACCACATGGTGAGATGACGATCACCCTGGACGATGTTGCATGTCTGTTGCATCTCCCAATAATATGAGGTTTTTAGACCACGAGAGGTGCGACAAAGAGGAAGCAATGAAGTTATTGGTAGATAGATTGAGAGTTACCCCTGAGAGTGCTTTGGCTGAGATGGACGCCACTCGTGGTACTCACGTCAGATTTAGTTATTTGAAGAGGGGGACCACAGATGAGAGACGGTGTGTACAATTGGATAACAGTGGTCCCGAGCAGGTTACCCATCATTGGGAGTGTGCTATGAGAGCATATCTTCTATATTTGATTGACACGACCTTTTTGTGGACACTAGTGTCCCTTAGAATGATATTAGGTATATGGGCTAATTTAATGATTTTGAGCAGATCCATGAGTGGAACTAGGGGATTGCTTGTTTGGTATACTTGTATCATAAGTTGTTTGAAGGCTGCAAGTGGGAGACGAAGTAAATGACCGATAACATCACACTCTTGAAGGTAAAATTTATTAGTCTTATATTGTCATTCAGTTTTGTTAATTATTGATACTAACTAAAAATCATTGTAATTTCAGGCCTGGATCCTACAACACTTCCCCCACATTTTTGGTTGGTCACTGGCCTCAGGTTATACTGAAGAAAGGTCGCAGCATGCCACTGCATTTGACCCGCTTCGAGGGAACCAGACGACATAGCTATTTCGGGTGTATATTAACCGGTTGGTATTTGATGATATACACTTCCATACCTACGTCGACCACTGTGTCATGGTTCCATTTGACGATGTTACATTGTATTCTGGATGGTTGACTTGCAGATCATGCAAGATGGTTGCTCATCTTTTTGAGCATGTCGTGCGGAAATTCAGATACATGTAGTATATTCCTCGGGATCCTGTTGTGTCTGCTTTTCCCTTGATGAAATAGAGGGATATGAATGCCTTGTTTGATGATTATGAAAATCATCTTGTGCTAGATGAGGTCTGGAGTACCTTAGCACCAGACGACTGGAGCTACGTGGACGGTTATATCATATAGTTCTTCAGGGTGTCCCATCCATATCTGGTACAAGATGCTCCAGGAAATCCACCAGGCCAGCTCATTAGGAGATTCTAAGGGAGGAGCAGGCTAGGGCCGATCATGCCACTAATGTGTTGCCTAGGTGTTGTCGTATCATGGATATTACATAGACGAGTATTATTGGTGGTTTGTTTCTCTATGGATCTGATGTTAGAGGTGTTCTAGATGCCATCATGATGGATGCTCAATGGGCTTTGCAGTACAGGAGGCAGCGAAGGAACGCCGGGATGGGAAGGGGTCGACTCATAGTCCGCCATACCGATTAGTCTTCTTCATTGTTAGATTTTGTTTATCGATTTTTGGAGTTGTAATATTTTGGGCTACCGACTTATTGACAGAGGACACCTTTTGTGTGTGTGTGTGCGTGTGTGTTTGTTTCTTAAGTCTTTGTATTCATTTTATAGTTTTCAACAACAAGCGAAACAATGCGAAAAATGCCTACTGCCTGGATATTTTTTTGATTACTGTCTGCATAGGAATCGAAAATATATTTACAGCATCCCGTAATTGTATTTCCGATTTAAAGTTGTGTTCAACAAAAAATTGTACATCCCAAAAATACATTTTCGATTACGCAGGGATATTTACGAAATTTCAAAGTGTGTTTTTCATCCCTATGAGATGGGTTAAGAAACCCCTAAGCCTAAAAGAAGCCCACTAAATTCCCAACGAGAGCCCATAACTTTCAACGAGCCCAATAGCTTTGTATGAAGATTCAAAACAAAGAAGCATCTAACTCTAACATCGACGTAGCCATGGAGAAAGAGAAGAAACCCAGTGATTCAAGTAACACAGAACCTTCCTCCTTCAAGCTTCTTGTTTCATTTCCTTCTGGTCTCTCTCCATCACAGGTTCACTCCACTTCCATCTTCTTAACACACACTTTCCCGTAATAATCTACTTAATCTATCACTCGCTTTTGAAGGTTTCTGTTGAATTTGGTGACGCCTACGATCGAATCCCTCACTCTGACCTAACCTTGGAAAACACCATCTCTGAGGTTCATCACATTTCACTGTGATCCATTTTATATTCTTTAGTTACTTGTATGTGTGATTACTTTCTGTTTATTGCGCAGATTTGGGAGCAGAGGAGTGTTCAAAACAAATCTCTGTTCAATGGAAATAAATTTAGGGTATGAGATTTTCTTGCCTGCAATGATATTTAAAAGGCAAAAATGTATAAGATATATTTAACACATACACCTCTGAAAAAAGTGTGTCTCATCGGTGTCCGAAACTGACACCGACACTTGTGATTACATTTTATTTATTTACTTTTTCAAATTATTATTGGTGTCGTATTTCCGGTGTCTGTGTGGTTCAGTGTACAAGGGATGATTTATTTTGATGCTCTTGAGTAAATACTTTGTCAAGCACTATCTCTAATAGTGTTTCTATCTTTTTTGTTGAAAATATCGCAGTATGGAGGGCATGTTTTGCACACTGGAGGTCAATCTGACAATGAGCCACATGTATGCCTTCACCTAGGTTTGACGGATTATAGGTTGCTTCTCAGTGCTCATCTTGGAGTTGTTTCATTTTTATTTATCATGGTTAGTGATGTTGATATGATTACAATGATTCTCGAATCTTGAATGATAAACTATAGTTTTAATGTTTGTGTGGATGCTTTCGCGATTTTAATCTAGATCTATTTCAACGTTTGTGTTTATGAGTTCTAATGCGCGTTCATTGTTGATAATGATAGATTAATAAGAACTGAAGTGATAAGTTTGTCGTAAACATTTTGTTATCTCTAGTGTTTGCTTGAAACCAGTAGAAGATCTATTGTATGCTGTTTTGAAGTAATAGTTTAGTCTTATTGCTATTATTCCCTTGTATTTTTTGCTTATCTGTTCTACATTTGCTCAATTTTAAAATTAATAATTATTGGTTAAATATGCTCCAGGACTTTTGTGGGGACAAATTTAAGTCCGTTGTGGGAAAAATTTCTTGTTTCATCTGAAGGTAATACATATAACTTTTGCTCCTTTTTTAACCCAAGTGCTACTGTTGTGGTTACCCTGTGATCTCATACTCTTTGCACCTGAGCATAGGGTAGTGTGGCAACTTACTTCTAAACTGGAGTTTTATGATATGATTTCCAATAGTAAATTATCATGAAAGGAACAAGCGGCTGGGGGTTAATTTGATAAAAATCTAGAAGCGGTAGTACAGTATCTCTCTCCCTTCTCTCTGCAGTCTGCCCCTAAAGTAGTGTCAGTCTGCCAACTGGATCTTGAAATCATTAGCCAACTGGATATTGATTGGTGATCGTAGTGTCAGTCAGCTTTAGCATCTTATCGCTGTAAGGCTGTCCAAATCGATAGTCATTACTGTGATAACCGAATATCATCTATGTAACCTCGCCGTTTTTCATCTTGGTCCAAATTCATATGGCTTCCACACATATCTGATTGTTGTAGAATGATGGAGTTAGTGAGACAAATATGAAAAATGATGACGTGGCTAGTAGTCCACACAGTGTTTTCCTAAAATATGGAGAGTGTATGCTAGAAAAATTAGAAAGTAAGAGAAAGATGAGGTGGCAGAAAAGGGAGGGGTGGCTTGAGCAGTTTGTGGCAGTTATGCATAGTCCTGTATGTAAATGGGGCTGGTTAGTGGGTAGGAGTTATGCAGAATCATGTATGTTAAATAGGACAAGTTAGTGGGGAGAAGTTAGGCAGAAAATAGCAGTTAGTACAGGGAAGAGATCTCTCTGTCAGAGTGAGCTTCGCCCTCAGGGAAAAGAAGGAAGAGTTGTTTCCTTCATTCCATTTTCTTTTATCCATTCACTCCATTTGACATTCTTAGGTGGAGGCCATTGTAGGACACTCTCTACCTTAGCCGGATCCATTGCCACTCCTTCCCTGGAAATGATTTGCCCAAGATACTCAACATTAGTTTTAGCAAAAGAGCATTTCTTTCTGTTTGCCACCAGCTCTTGTTGCTGCAAAATACTCAGTACAGTAGCTAAGTGAGTAATGTGATCTTCCCAACATGGGCTATAGACAAGGATATCATTGAAAAATACCAACACATATTTTCTCAGGAGACTTTTAAAGATATCATTCATAAAAGCTTGAAAGGTTGAAGGAGCATTCATCAACCCAAAGCGCATTACAAGGTATTCGTAATGACCCTCGTGAGTACGAAATGCGGTCTTATGAATATCTCCGCTTTTTCCCCTTACTTGATGGTATCCTGACTTTAAGAGGACTAGAAAATGCACTCTGACTAGGACAAATCACTCCGGATTTCAACAGCGGCTTCAATTTCATTTTTATGAAGACGTGGGTATCGATAAGGGCGGACATTGACATGTCTTTCTCCCTCCTTGAGATGAATAGCGTGCTCATGCTTCCTTTTTGGAGGTAACCCATGCGGCTCTGCGAAAACTCTTGGATACTTTTCCAGCAACAACTGAATCTGTTGGTTAGCAATTTCAACTGACTTAATTTTTTCTTGAGCTCTAGCTGCCATGAACAAACCCCCATACTGCAATTTTGGCCTTCCCAGAAAACTTTGCAAGGCCAATTGACTCCTATTATCACTCCTTTCACCATGCAACTCCACCCACCGTGAGTTAATTGGAAAACGCAACACCTTTTGTGCCCAATCAATCCACATACCTCCAATTGATGCTAACCATGACATTCCCAAAACAATATCAATCCCGTCGAGATCAAACAACCACGCCTCAATTTCTGATGTCATATTTCCCAAATCCAACACCATTTTTCTGTAAATACCTTGAGCCATAACTTTGAAACCATCTCCCAGTTTAACTTTGAGAGGAGATGTTTCTTCTATTGGCCATCCCATAGCCTAGCCTTCACCAACTTCACGGATATGAAATTGTGAGTGGCTCCACTATCTTAGCTTTATTGTGCACACATCTCTTGTCTTCACCGGAGTAGGTTGATCAATTTGGGCGAGACTCATCACATTCAACTTAACTTCTTCTTCGCCCTCATCCTCCGCTTCAGCGCTATTGATTAAGGCCTTGTTGTCGCTCGCTTCATTGTCCTCCATCACCATTACACGAAGTTGTCGGTCTGGGCACTGGTGGCGTGGGTGGTAAGCACCGCCACCCATGAAGCAGAGGTTTTTCTGCCGACGTTCAGCAATTTCCTGAGCAGAGAGGTGACGTATTCCACGATCTCGAAAACTGGAAAACGGTGCAAATCTGATTTCCCGCCTCCCTTTGCGTTTAATCGGTTGTGACCCGAACTGAATTGTCCTTGGCTCCTTTGACTACGACCCAATCATTATTGCGGATCCGACTCGGTTGATTTGACCCGGATCCCCCGCCAATATGGGATCTAGTGGAAAAAATCAACCCATTTCCCTTAGGTCCGTAATCACGAGGCCCATCCCAACCTCGTTTCCTCTCTTGCATCTCAGCCTCCATCGCATGCGTGAGATTTATCAACTTAGCGCGTGAAATTGGGCCCAGTGTGTTCATACTTCTCACGCACCCGCATATTCCATCGCTAAGACCATGAATGAAATACCCTACGTATTGCGCTTCTGGTAAACGGTCAACCTGTGCAACCAATCGTTCAAATTCTCTGATGTAATCATCCACACTCCCTTCTTGTCGCAATGACGATAATTGTTCAAATATGCTTCCGTCGCCGAGTCCTCCATATCTTTTCGGCAAGGCATCTTTGAAGGTTTCCCATGTTAGGTCGTGTTCAGCTTCAACCAAGGCCTTGAAGAAATGGATGGTGGAGCCTTCCATACACAATTGAGCCAATCAAACTTCGATCTCTGGACTGGTATCTCGAACATGAAAATAGACTTCTGCGCTGGATATCCATCCTGCTGGGTCTTCACCATTGAACATAGGAAGTTCAATTTTCTTCACTGCTTGGTGAAATTCATCAAGAGTCTCACCTTGTAATTTTTTGATCAGGTTCTTGATCTCTTCATTTTTCAGCATGACTGGACTCATCATCCTCTTTATGCTTCCCTGTTTTGCCTCCTTCTTTGCTTTGAGTTATAAGAGAAACAAGTCTCTCTTGATCTAATGCTGCCCGAGCTCGCATTTCGGCAACGGAAACCTCCAGAAATGACATCTTTGACTCCAGAGCAGCTACTTTGGCCTCCATGTTCTTCTTCTTTGGGAGCATTCAAGAACAAACAATGAACTGTTGACGTATCCGGTTGACGTATCCGGCAGGTCGGACCAAATTGATAGGTATAATTGTTGCAGAGGGAAATAATATGAAAATATAAAATGATAAAGGCAAATTGAGTGTTTGTTATTAATGGATGAAAGAAAATGGAATGAAGGAAACAACTCTTCCTTCTTTTCCCTGAGAGCCAAACTCACTCTGACAGAGGATCTCTTTTTTCTCGTAGTCCATGTATGTCTGGGCTTATTCGAGGAGGGCGTTAAAAGACCTGGGGGGTTCAATGCCAACAGCCTTTCTAAATTAAGTGCCCAGGAGGAGTCCCCTCTCGAGCAGGTATCTCTTCATGTGGTCGGCGCATGAGACCTGAATGGCCTCGCGGTTGAACCGATCAATGTACTCTCTGAGGGTCTCGTCGCTTCTCTGGACGATTGCCTCGAGAGCGGCCTCGGTCTTCGAATGTCGACGAGATGCAGTGAAGCTGCTGATGAATTGGTTTTTGAAGCTCTTCCATGAGGTGATCGACTCAGGGGAGAGGTTCTTATACCAATCCATGGCTGTTTTCCTCAGCGTCGTGGAGAACAACCTGCATTTAATTGGGCCTCCGACGTTGTGGTAGTGGAGCATCGCTTCGAACCCGTCGATGTGGTCGACAGGATCAGCAATGCTGTCGTATTCCTTCAGCAGGGGAGGCTTCTCCATTCCTTTAGGAATGAGAGCCTCCATGATGGTTAGGGATAATGAACCGCGGGGGTCGTCTTCGTCGCTCCTTTCTGGGGAGCGGGTGGGGGACTGGTTGTAGCGGCGGTCTTTGTGTCGGCCTTGGCCACGGGGAGGGCCCCTTGGCCGATAGTGCTTTTCTTCATTCCCCCTATTTCTTTTACGTTCAGGAGACTGTCGCTCCTTCCGCGGGGGGTGTGACCGGGCTTCTTAACAGGTTCGGGATGGTCCCTATCCAATGCAGGACCTCGCCCAGTTCGGCGGGGAGAAGGGCTTCGAGAGTCGTCCCGTCTGTGTCTCTGCGGGGAGACCAGGAGCGGTCCTCGTTCCAGGGAGTTCGAGAATCAGGTCTTATGTGCTTTCTGGGGGCCCGACGAGTCTGCTCCAGCATCATCATTCGCTCACTCTGTGAGAAGATCATGTAATTGGTTTGGTTGATTACCGCGAACAGGACTCTGGTTGTGGTGTCAGCACCTTCAGGAACGGGGATCTCCTGATATGCATATGGCTCATAATTCTGCGGAGGATGGTAGTCGTGGTTGTGAGCGGGTGGATGAAGAGGCGGTCAGTCCGTCCCTGTGGTCTTGCTCGGGGGCGGCCGCGTTGTTGTTGCTCGCGTTGTTGTGCCCAGCATCAACGAAGTGAACGTTTTGGTCATTGTTGAAAGCTTGGTTGGCCATGACAATCAGAAGGTTGATAAAGAGTTGCTTTGGTCTTGAGTGAAAGACGGGGAAGCTGGATTCCCACAATCGGCGCCACTGATCGTACCTGATCACAAGAGATTGTCCAGGCCCACGAGCTTTAAGTCGAGCAGTGGTTAAATGTGAAGTGGGGGGTATATGCAAGACACTCCGATGCCAAAGTAAGGTTCAGAGTGAATGCAAGTCAAACGTGAGATTATGGGTGAATGAATACCTGGCGCTCTCAAATGAGAGGGTATTTATAGCTCCCAGCGCTGTGCCAAGGTCCTCCATGTTGGGCTGACCAAGCAGACCCAAAATAGAGACTGTCAGGTCCTACGTGTGTAGTGGAGGCCAACACGTGGTTTCCAACCTGAATGGATTCCTCCGAATTATCAGGAGGACGTGGATGCGGTCTTTTCGGGATCAAGAGAACTCCGTGATATTCGGAGGCGTTGAATGCCTGCCCTTCGAGGAGGGTGCTCGTGAGGACCTCCTGAGTGTTGTTGGTCCTCCTCGCCGGTCGTGTGGTGAGGTTGTCTCCGGAGGACATATCCTGGTCGACGAGAGAAGTGGAATCACTGCCCGACATGGTCAAGAGCAGACTCTCTCCTGCAGGTCTTCTCATACAGCCTAGTTGGATTGAGCCTTGTATGATGTTTGGGTCAAGTGCAAGCCCAGTTCAGAACAGGTTGAATTAGGTCCAACCATAATTCTAAAATGGTATTAGAGCCTCGTTCAAGAACCATTTGATTACTTGCTATTAGATTTCTGCTATCAGGTCATCCTCCATTTACACACCAAGCCCGATAGTGTTGCGCGAGGGGGTGTTAAGAGTCTCACATCGAATAATATATGACTTGAACATATTTTTATAAGTAAGAGCAGTTTTCATTTTCAAGGAAAATTCGTAAGGTTGAATTAGACCCAACCACACTTTTAAGACATAATGTTTTATAGCTAGACCTTGGAAATAGAGAAGCTAGTGTATGATTAGTAGATGTGGGAAGAGAGTGCCATATGATTCATATATTTGCATTTATCCGCCACTTTGGCTATTGTATTGCCACTTTGACTATTGCATTCTACAAGGACATAGTATGAATGACTTTCATCATATATTGTGCAAACACGTTTTGATTAATTAGATCACTTCAATTAAAAGTAATCATACAGAATTCTAGAAAAGTCTTGTATGTTTCCTCTGCCTCACTCTTCCGTTCTTTTCATTTGAGTTGATATTATTATATTAATTTATCTATCTTAATCTTTTGGCTTTATCTTTATGTTTCTTCAGATGATTTCGTTCTTTGTCAGCATACCTCAAGTCCATTAGGAAATGCTGCAGTGGTGGAGACATCTGACAATAAAATACTTGTATTACAGCGAAGTAATAATGTTGGTGAATTTCCTGGATATTTCGTTTTTCCCGGAGGCCATCCAGAGGTATTCAACAGTGCAATGAATGTTCTGAATCCTTTTATTGCTAGTATCTAGTGAGGCATTGCAGTTGTTGAATTATTCATAATGAAGTGGGCATTTAGTTCTGAAATCAGTGACGTATTTGTTCTTTGTATTTATGTATTTCAGACTTAATATTCCTGTATAGACATGGCTATACATTGAATTGTTTTTTCATATGATTGACAGCCTCAAGAAATTGGGATAACGTCCCATCAATATGTAAAGGAGTTAACAGACTCGATCAACATTAATGTCTCGCGGGAGATGTTTGACAGCATAGTACGCGAAGTCGTTGAAGAAATCGGAGTGCCAGCTTCATCCCTTGTAAGTTTCATCTGTACTTCAATAGGACTTATCGATAACCATATACAAGGTTTTTCCATTAATGAGTGAATTTCAGCGCCACAAGTAGTGTCTGCTCTGTAGCCATGGCAATTATATGTTTTGATTTTTTTCTATATACTTTCTTTGAGTGGATCGATTGCGGATAAGTCTTCTGTTTCCGCCGCTAACCACTTCTCACATTTCGTTTTTAAGTTAGGAGTTGAATGGGTTCAAAGACTGAGCTTCTATTTTTTCATATATTGTCATGCAGAGCATCCCGGCTTTCATTGGTATATCTCGCAGGGATTTGAATGTGAGACCGGCTGCATTTTTCTCTATCAAATGCAATCTTGACTCAAAGGAAGTTCAGCAGTTTTACTCTAGTGCACTAGATGGCTATGAATCAACCCAGCTCTATACTGTCCCAATGGTAAATCTATTACTTATTTTTTCTCTAGGTCATTGTGCGACCTGTTTAGACTTATATGCTTGTTATTTCAAAGCTTAAAAACTAGTTTATTTGTTGATCAAATTTCAAACTAGTTTATTTTTTCTCATTGATTTTGTATGTTTCAGATTGAATTAGAAAATATGGCCTCTATGATGCCTGGCTGTCATCGAGGTGGATTTGCTCTCTATAAATTGATGGTTGACACCAGGAAGATTACTTGATGGAAGTTTGTAGTGCTCTCAGTTGTGTTATATTAAGTGAGTCTCTTTCCAGCTTAATTAAATTTAGTGGCAACATTGCTGAGGTGATTGAACCATTCAATGAAAAGGAATGAGACAGAATTTCAGCAGTCTGAAATCTTTAACCGGAACAGGTTGTCTATTTTATTCAATAGATTATACTGATGCTTGTGATCAATTCACATTATCAAATTATATGAATGAGAAAAATTAAGTTGTGCACTGATTTCTGTTTACATTCACGATCAATTTATATACACAAGCCAAGGCATGAAAACATGGAATTTATGATAACAACTGCATAACTAAACTGAAGAAGTTTCTATAACTGTCATGAGTGTGGCAGTAGGTTATAGTATCTAAGCTCCTATGTTTTGTGATAGTGGGGTTGGTTACAGGGAACTGATCTAAGGTCTCTTTCCCAACCAAGCCAACCATATCTCGAATCTCATTAGTTTGCAACTTATACATTGATTATGTTGTTTTTCAGTTTTGTAGTTTATTAAACCAGATATCAACTAGCTGAGATCAGTATGTGTATTTCAGTAATTTTATTTGAATTTGGTATAGACCGGGCTTGAGCCTAAGCCATGATTATATTGTGATGTTCGGGTGTATACCATCATATAATCCTATGGATTCTTGGATTCTTCTGTATCATTAAGCAAGCATGCATAGATTAATGGAACCAAGCCATACCACCTTTTGCTCTTGCCTTGTTTTAAAAGAGAAAATGCTGTATTTTAATTGATCGGTAATTTGCACAAACCAATAAACATTTTCCTGATGAGAGCCCTTCTAAGTTTGGAGAGGAGGGAAGAGAAGGACATCGAGAGTGGGGAAAGGAATGAAAATTTCTCGTTTGAAAAAATACTCTTTTTTTTCAGAAAAAAGGAATGGGTGATGTTTTTAGAGTATTATAAAGAAAACAAAAATGATTTGGAGAATTTATAATCTTCATTTCTCAAATTGAAAGGTTTTAGCATTATAGAGAAAATAAATCCTCCATACAAGGTGTAGGTGTAAGATATATCTAGGGATGGCAAAAAAAATTGTATCCGTGGATACCCGTGGATAAAATCTGTCACAGACACAGATATTATTATTATTATTATTATTAATATTATTATTAATATTAATCTTATTATTATTAATCTTATTATTATTATTATTATTAATCTTATTATTAATATTAATCTTATTATTATTAATATTAATCTTATTATTATTATTATTATTATTATTATTATTATTAATCTTATTATTATTATTATTGTTATTGTTATTGTTGTTGTTATTATTATTGTTATTGTTAATCTTATTGTTATTATTATTGTTAATATTATTATTATTATTATTATTATTGTTATTGTTGTTGTTATTATTATTGTTATTGTTAATCTTATTGTTATTATTATTATTAATCTTATTATTATTATTATTATTATTATTATTATTATTATTATTATTAATTTTATTGTTATTATTGTTGTTATTGTTATTGTTGTTGTTATTATTATTGTTATTGTTAATCTTATTGTTATTATTGTTAATCTTATTGTTATTATTGTTGTTATTCTTATTGTTATTGTTAATCTTATTGTTATTATTGTTGTTATTGATATCGTTAAATATATTATTATTATTATTATTATTATTATTATATCGTGTATCAAATTATGTAAGTTACCTTCTTGAATCATAAAAACATCACAAAAAATATAGAAAGTTTCATGTGTTAGAGGTATATATCATGTATGTGTTGTAGACTTTAGTATAAATTGTACTATGTTATGGCTTGAGTTGATAACGTGAAAAACACAAAAACAATTATGCAGAACTTCAATAGATTTTTCTCTTCATTTTTCATTTTCAATATGGTGGTACCAGAAGTGGTTCAGATTTAAATTACGTTTCACTTCATCTTTCGCGAAAATTTCCAAATTAACTTCAGATTCTTTTACCCTACATCAACAATGGCAAACTTTGCAAATCAAAGTTTGTTCATGGAGAATCAAGATCCATCACGTAACAATTCATTGAGCTTCTTCACATTGAATTGCAACAACACATATGGTCCAAAACTCTCTATTCAACTCAAGTGGGAATCGATCCCTATGGTGGGGATCTTTGGAGAAAGATGACTTGGTCATCAGTGAAGTTTCAGTACACATGCTTGAGTCAATTATGTTGTATTGTATTATATGTGACATTGCATAATGATTGATTAAGTGATGTTTTGATGATGTGTGAAATGATTCCTTGATGATGATTGTTGATTTGATGGTATGATGATGATGTGTTATGATGATATAAAAGCGTGAGTATGATAGGTGAAGCATGATGATATGCAATATATAGATTGTATGATGATATTTTTTGAAATACTATGTCTATTTCATATATCTTTTGTAATGAATATGATTACTCGCCCTTTTTGTTAGAATGTTGCCTCCATGTGGATAACACGCAGGTGACCAGGAGTGGTTCGTAGAAGCTTAGAGGATAGGTTCAGAGTGCGTTGTTTATTTTCCATTGAGTTAGCAGGTCTTACTCTGATATGTAACATCGGGGTTGTGAATGTTTGAAGTGAAACTTTGTTTCTTTGATTGAATGATTTATAAGTTGTTTATGTTGTTTGAGATGTTTTAAAACCATAACTCATGAAAGATAAGATTTAATGATGTTTTGAAGGATATTATTTCATGAAGTTGTGTGAGGCTATGAATTCCGCTGCATAATTAAATGAGTTATATGTTGATACTCCAAAAAGAAATGTTTATAATTGTTGAGAGCCCGTGTTACAGAGCAAGATATGTATGTATGGTGTTTTTATGAATCGTGTGACACCCTTTTAGTGCATTACTCTGATTTATTAATTATAATATTTGTGGGGTTTTAGAATGATGTTACACTCACCTCACAATCTTACACCCTTTCAAACTTGTTTGCATAATAGAAAACCTTATAAAGGAAAGTGTCAAGTACATGTAGGAAATGGTCAGAGTTTACTTATTAAAACCATTGGTACTTCCTATATAAAAAATAAGCTTATTCTTGATGATATCTTACATGTCCCTGCTATTACCAAGTACCTATTGTCAGTCTCCAAGTTCTCTAATGATAATCATGTCTTGTTTGAATACCATCCTAGAAAATGCTATGTTAAATGTCAGGGTTCTAAGGAAGTCCGTCTTGAAGGGTTTCTTGAATCCAATGGACTTTACTGCTTCCCTAATCTCACATTGAATAAATCCAGGTCTACTGAACCCTTTATCAGTCATAGCTTTTCTTCTATTGTCTCAAATTCAAATAGTGTAGTTGAATATGATGTACTATGGCATAGTAGACTTGGTCATGCCAACTTTACTATTGTCAAAAGTATTCTCAAATTTTGCAATATACCAATTCAAAATAAAACTTCTCATGAATTTTGTAATCCATGTTGTTTAGGGAAGTCTCATGGATTGCATGCTCCTGTGTCATTGAATACATATAGAAAATTTTTAGAGACTGTTGTACCCTAAAATTTGCCCTCATTTTTCAAGGCCTTTCTCACAAGGATTCTCAAGGTTCAAGCTTGCACAAGTATATTGGGATGTTCCAGTACCAAGATTAAAAGGAAACTATCAAAAAGGGAGAAAATAGATAAAAAAAAATATTTTGACAAATTTGGAGAAAAACAAGTGTTCTTCGATTCAGCTCCTTCGATTGGCCTTTTGGCCACTTTCGATGCAAGCTTGGTTTGCATCCTTCGACTGGGCGTGGGCCTCTGGCACGTTGGTTTGGATTCACAAGGCACAAAGCCTCCTGTATTTTCCTTCGATTCCAAGGCAAAAGGCTCCCTTTTAGCATCCTTCGATTTGCACTTTTTGCCTCTTATATGCCTCTTTCGAATTTGGATATTTTATCCTCCTACATGCACCTTTCGTTTGGGCATGTGGTTCCTTCAGTACAAGCTACTGGTCACACCCTTCATTTGGGCAGATGAATCTTTCAGCACAAAATTTTGGTCAAACCTTTCGTTTGGGCATTTGACTCCCTTCATGCTTGCTTCGTTTGGGCACATGAATCTTTCAGTACAAGCTACTGGTCACACCTTTCGTTTGGACATGTTGGTTCCCTTCATGCAAGCTTCGTTTGAACATAGATCGTTTCCATGTTGGCATGAAGTCACAAGGCAGGGACCCCCTATGTACACTCTTTCGTTTGGCCACATGTGACCCTTGGCAGACAAGCCTTTGACTGGACAAGAGCCACCTTCACACAAAGCTTCGATTGGAGTTTTGGTTTCCTTCGAATCACATCTTTCGAACCCAACTCTGGATCCTTCGAAGCAAGTTTGAACAAATCTCATAGCCTTACCCTACTTGTCAGACTATTTTGCTTCTAAATCTTTACATAATCAGAAGCTTGTACAAATGATAGAAGCTTTATCTATTGGAAAAATACTATTATTGGTTAAAATAGCAAGGGCTACGTACTTTTTTCATAGAGAGTACTTTTAAAGCAGCTTCCAACCTGATTTTTGTCTGAACACAAGCAATGTCAAAAGCATAAGTCCAATCTTCTGCCAGCAGGGCCCCACTTGTACTGGAAACGTGGGAACAACGAAAAGGGACTGACTTGTTTCACCCTTAGCCAAACCATGGTTTGTCATCATACAAACCTGGTTACTTCAAACATGTTGATTCTTCTCTCTATAAATAGAGAAGCATTTACAAGCTCATAGGAGGACTTTTTGGCCAGAGAAACGAATCTCCAAAATTTTCTCAAACATAACAAAGCTCTCAAACACTTGTGAAAGCAAAAACCCAGAATCTAACATTTACCTCTTTCGATTCTGAAAAGTCCCACACATTTTATTCCCTTTCGAATCTAGTAGAAAAGACATCTCATTTGTTTTCCTCCTTCGAATCAAACAGTAGAAACGCTGCCTCTGGTCCCTTCCTTCGAATCCAACAACATTCAAGGAAACCACT